TGTGATTCATCTCCACAGCAGCATAACATAGTGGAGAAACATGTTTGATATGAGTACAATAGTCACCTGTGGATTCTGGCTTTAAGGGTAAATTTAGAGGAACTAAAAGCTTCCTTAGCTTAATGTTTTCAGAAATGAATTCATTTTGATCTGAGATCTCAAAAATCAGAACAAGAATTCAAAAATAAATTGTGTGTTCATTATTACAACATAAAATAGTTAAATATTGCTCTTATCTTCAGGGAATTCAGAGCAACTGTGGTCAAGACTTTCCTGCCAGAGGATTTTAAAGATAGAGTTACGTTGCCATGCACCATCAGGTTATTTGCTTATGCAAATAAAAGGAATGGGTGGTATATTTTGAGTTGTCACTTAGTTTTATTAATAGCAAATGTGTAATTCATTTTTACAATGCCTGTGTGAAATTCCTTGGATCCTGACTTAGTTTCCCTGAATGAAATGAAGATCCTACTCTTCTTTGCTTTCTGAGATACTCTAGACCAGGCATGTTAAACATAAGGCCCGGGAGCTGGATGCGGCACATGAAGTGGTTTCATGATCTATTGTCACTCACACTCACTCACAAGCTCATGCACGTATACAGAGGTGTATTCATTATATGTGTATATACATATGTGTGTATACACACAATTCTATGGATATATAATCAGTGGTGGGATTCAAATATGTGAAGAACCGGTTCTCTGTGTGGATGCCGCTTCCAGAAGTCCATCCCGGGCTTGGGCAACAAAAAATTAGCTATAGGTTCTGCCGAAGTGGTGTGAACTGGCTGAATCCCATCACTGTATATAATACATAAATAAAACATAATCCTTTTTAGAAGAATTCATGACTGCTAATATCAATATTAAATGGATAATATTAAGTAATACTAGTGGTACAACTTAATAATTTACAGTTTTGTTTAACTGATAAATCTATAATTTGTGAATCTAGTGTGATCCTCCCTCCCTCCCTCCCTCTCTCTCTCTCTCTCTCTCTCTCTCTCTCTCTCTCTCTCTCTCTCTCTCTCTCTCTTCCCCCCTAATCACTAAATTATATTAAGCTAGAGTGAGGTGTTTTTTAGCTTCCCTTTTCTCTTTCTGGTTGTGGACAATCAACCTCTAGCTCAGTTTAATCAGGCACAAATTGTGCCTGCCTTGTAGTAATAATTCAAACATGGTCACAAATAATTGAATGCGATATGGAAAGTCCTTCTGCAGTGAAATAAAACTTGTTTCCTTCCTGGAGCCCAGTAAAGAATTGAAGGTTTAGTTGAAAAGAAATGTAAAATCCTGGGCTTCTGAATCCAAAGTACGCTGGCAATTTGGAGCAAAACTATTGAAACCACTACACACTGTCAAACTGGCACTGGAATAAATATACTGTGGAGGCACATCTAGCAAAGAAAAAAGGGAGGAAACATTAAGAAAGGGGAGGGGAAGATATTGGTGAGAAAAGAATCGCCCCGCAATCTTTGATTTACCAACGGCATTATAATTGTGCTAGAAGTTTAGTGATGTAATGACTAAGGCTGTACAGATCGTCCTCAGTGTATGACTCCAATTGAGCACAGTATTTCTGTTGCTAAACAAGACAATTGTTAAGTGAACTTTGCCCCACTTTATGACCTTTCTAGCCATGGTTGCTAAGTGAATCACTGCACTTGTTAAATTAGTAGCACAGTTGAGAAGCGAATCTGACCTCTCCATTAACTTTGCTTGTCAGAAGGTTTAAAAATGTGATCACCTGACCCTGCAATCGGAACACTGCAACCGGCATAAGTACATGCCAGTTGCCAAGTGTCTAAAATTTGATCATGTGACAATGGGGATGCTTCAATGGTCATAAGTGTGAAAAAACATTCATAAGTCATTTTTTTCAGTGCCATTGTAACTCTGAATGGTCACCAAACGAATGGCTGTAAGTTGTATCGCTAGTTTATTTTTAACAACAGCAGCTTAGTAAGCAGTTTTAACATTTTAAAGGAACTTTTTACACTGCTGTGGTCACTACTTTTTTTAAAAAAAACAACTCCAAGTACAGAAGATATGTTTCTCTTGAAAACCGGCTGGTTTTTTCAGATTGATTTAGTTTGTTTCAGCTTTCAGAGCTGGGCTTTGCACTGATTACCTCTCAATGTCTGTGGCTACTTTTATCAATCCTGGCATTCTTGAAGCTTTTTATAAACTTTCCCCTGAATGCAATTATGGAATACTCATAAAAAATGTAAAAGAGCAGCTCTGCCAGAAGACTCGTATGACTAATTTAAATGGCAGCTTGCCATGAGGTTCACAGATGCCTTGTTGGGACTCCCTGCTGAAGAAAAAGTCTTAATTGTGTTATAGTGTTGTAGCACAGAAAGGTCAAAGGAGAGACATTTTCATTATTTCAAATAGAATTGGTTTTCAAGCTGGAGATGCTCTGGGTAAGCATGTGAACTAGAGTCACATTATTAAAATATGAAAGGTCTTGTTTACTAGTTTGCTTTCTTCTACAACCTTTTCTCTAAGAGCCCATTACACGGAAATTTCCATTTTGTAATCAAAACAGAAGGCCTTTTGTGAATTAAAGTTACACTTGCAAACGCACAAGAAATTCTACGTTTTTATGCACTTTGAAACCCCTTTACAATAGGATTTCTCCAAATTAAAGGCAGAGTGTTGCCATTTAGGATCTCCCCAGAATAATCTTGTGATCGGAGAAGCTTTGCGTATTATCTCCTTGGTCTCTGAATGCCTTCTATGAGACTACTTAAAGCTAAAAGGGTATTCTGCAGTATTTTCCCTTTTTCTTTTTAATAAAATTGGGTTCTCACACTGTGTGTGAGGTTGAGCTATCTCTCAAAGGAGAAAGGGTTGTTTTTTTATTTATTTTTTTTGGTCACCACTCTAAAACTCCATACAAGGTGGTGCTGTTAATTTTGACATTTTTCTTCTTCTTTTATTTGCCAGTAAGGTGAGCCGATTTGATCTGGAGATTAAAGTGATGGATTAGGAACAGAGAAAGTTCTGCTTTAGGCATAAAAGCCAGGGATAACCATAAGCTAGTCACTTTCTCTCAACCTTAAGAAGGTGGCAGTGGACTACCACTTCCAAAAATGTAGAAAATTGCATGGACTTGTCTGCTAGTCGCCAGGAATCAAGACTGAGTTGAAACAAAACACAAAAGGTCATATTGATTATGAAGTGATAACTACCAAGCCATTGCATCAAGATGGGTGGCAAAGTTAGAAGTGTAACTCCTCAGAGAAGAGATTTGAGACTTCTTTTCTCCTTAGGTTCAGCCCTGTTGCTGCATTAACCATTGATCCTTGTTATGTTCAAATTCAGACAACTGTGGGTTGATCAATATCACTTCCTGGAATTATATACCTTGATCCTAAGTAGATCTCTCTACTGTAATTTTAACAGACCACAGTTCCAAAGTCCAAATAAAATATGGCTCTGTTTACAAAATTCAAATGAGTAAGAAATAAGAGTGAAGACAAAGCAATGTCTCACAGAAAGAAACTTAGGCAAAGAGTGTCTTAGGAAGAGATGTAGCTGCTTTAAATAGCAAAAGACAAAGTTAAACATATGTCCTTCTTGGGCACATTATGTTATCTTTTCTAAATTATTTCTAAGGTGCTGCACAGCCATTTTCATTAGATTTTCCTTATAAAAGGAATCTCCCATGCTTCTTGCAGTGTTGCAGCCATGAGGCCTTGCATGTTCCTGGAAAAGCATGTAATTTATTTCTTTGAGAAGTAGCATCCGTGTTTCACCCAACCATGTTTCTAAAACACACCAGACTTTCAAAACGTATTTGCCAGTAAATGATTGCTTTTCAGTTCAGTTTATTTGCCTGAAAACAATAGATTACAGCAAACCTATCTTTCCCACCTCCACCCCCACCCCCCAATTAAACAAAAGTGATATGACATACATGCATAGCAAATTAAGTCATTTCAAATGTTATATTTGCAGGCCGAAGCTAAGACGGAATCACTAAGAGTATACATACTGCATATTATTTTTCATCACCCTGAACTTTAAGTGATCCATGGGGCAGGGAGGGGGGGGGGCTGAGAAACTGCCTGCATAGTTTTAAGACTATGGAATGTGTTATGTCCCGAGCTCTTTTCGCCAAGGACTCAACAGAATGTATGTTTGAAAGTTATTGTGTGAACTATCAAGGAAAGTCTGTCTCATATTCACTGCAATGGTTTCAAGAAGCCCTTGACTTACAACCACAGCCCAGTCCAAAATTTATTAAGCTGAGGGAGTGTTGTCCCATTTAATGACCCTTTTTGCTACAGCTGCTAAGTGAATCACTGGGGTTGTTAAGTTAGTAACACAGCTATAAAGTGAATCTAGCTTCCCCGTTGTCTTGGCTTGTCAAAAAGCCACACAAGGTAAATCACCTGACTCTGGAATATTGCAACCATCATAAATATGAGCCAGTTGCTAAGCCTCCAGATGTGACCATGGAGACATTGCAATGGTCGTAAGTGTGCAAACCAATCATAAGTCAGTTTTTTCAGTGCCGTTGTAACTTTGAACAGTCACTAAACAAAGGGTTGTAAGTCAAGGACTGCCTGTACATTTTAGCTACTCTCTGGGTGGGCTACTCAGTAAATGGAATCAGGTAGCAGCTAAATGATCACATCACCTTTCATTTCCCCAAATTTGGGATTTCCAAGAGTTTTGCTTAGTGAAACCAAGGAGCAGATGTTTGCCCGAAAACACCTTTCACATGAAGCCATAATGAGAAAGACTACAAAACCCAATGATGAAAATACCCCAAACAATAATCATCCTTGCAAGGAAGTTTAAATTAATTTGCTCTTTGTGCTTCACTTACCCAAAAATAAATCCCAAAAGAAAAAGCAGTACTTGTATCGAAGTACCATTCTCAAGCCTCCAGAGAAAAATATAGTTCATTTTGCGTGGCTGATCAGATACAAATGACATGATATAAAAGTGCTGCGTATGTAATCATTCCAAACAGACAGAGAACAAAGTCGTTGTGCTTTTTAATATATAAGAAATAATGTGTGCATTTGGATTGAATACATTCATTTTTCTAAATACAAAATAGGCAGGCTATTGCTATTCATCAAACTTACATTTTTGTTACAAGCTAAGCTCAATTAGATTTAAATGAACCCATGCATTTCTTTTTAATGTCAAAACTAGAGTTTGTACACAACTTCACTTCTGTTTCTTCATATTTATTTTTTAATATTCATCCCCTCATTTGAGAAGAAGCATTTAGTCTCATTTTGATTAAATCATTTGGAATCATTGACCTGGTGATCTGCTAGGGTTTAATAGTAGATTCTAATCTACCTTTTTCTGGGCCCTTTCTGATATACTGAGTTTTGAATACTTGTTCTTACAGCCATATATATCAAGTCAATTGGATTAATATGTAAAGGATATCTTAATCTATATTTACTGCGTGCTGAGAAAGAACTGATCACTGGTACCTACCAAATAATACTAATAAATAGCACAACTTAACTGAATTTTGCTTTGAAACAGCTGGTTAAAAAAATAGCATGCATTATCTATTTTATAAGTATTGCTTTACTACTGTGCTTATAGCTAAATTGGAAACATCATCTTCCATAGGAGCAAAGTACTAGACATTCATTTTAAAAGAAGAATCACTATTCTCAGCTAATTCAATAAATTGATTTTTCTGGGACTGTAGGAACTCACTATGAGGGTCTACATTTTAATTCCATATCTTCTTATTTATCTGCCTCGTTGTGCTTAGCTTTGCAGTGGATAATGTGAAATTTGATCTGTTTTTTGTTACCCTTCCCAGAAATCATTAGCTATTAGCATGGGCAGAAAAGCATAGCATGAAAACATAGCATTCCTAAAAATAAAATTCCTAATTTTAGGAATGCTATGCTATCATAATATGCTTTTCTGCCCATGCTAGTGATTAATGGTTTCTGGTAAGGGTGGCAAAAACAGATCAAAATGTCACATTATCCTCTGTAAAGCTAGGTATACGGAATATGGAAGACAAGGAAGGGCTAGCTCTCACCACTAGATCCAGAGTACTATTTTCACAATAGTTTTCTTGTGAGACCAGCTCCACTTTCTAAATGTGTACAAAATGGGAACATTATACAAGCTTTTTAAAGGATAGTGTCTTTTCACATCTAGGTCGGTGGTTACCAACCTTTCCAGCTTTGTGGACTGGCAGTGGTAGTGACAGCAGTCGGGGGCAGGGATGATACCACACAAGCGGCGGGTGAGCTCACATGCGCCGCTCACACAAATGGAGTTTCGTGTGTACATGCGCTCACCCACCCTTGTACGGCCCAGTTCCAAACAAGGCCACTGCTCGGGATTTGGGGACCCCTGATCTAGGAGATTTTCGGGGATAACACTTTCAATGCAATTTATACTAATAAAGATCCTCTGGTCAGCACTGGGATCACGACCAGACTATATCCTTAAGTAGTCCCTTCTCTAGTGAAAACAAGATATGGCACTTAACTGATTCACTTCCACAACAATGAATTGATTTCTGGAATTAAATAAACTTTGGTAGCCTCAAGCTGAAGCCAATAAGAGAATCAAGAGGAGTGACCTTGCAGAAGACTATAATCAGCTTATCTGCTTTACTAGATCATGGTACCCTGATAATTCATATAAGCTGATCTAGGATCAGATTATCCAAATAAACTGTCAAAATAGACTAATATCTTACCAATATCTTCACTGAATAGCTTTGGTGTGTTCATAAAATTTTTGGAAGCACTTTATCCTTATAAACAGGTTATCCTTATAAACATCATTCCAGGCAACTGAAGTCATATATCCAGAGTCAACAAATAATTAGTGCTTTTCACAGGTAACTTCTTAATGTTTTTCACATTTGAAAAATGAAAAAATAGACTGACATTTCCCCCTGAAGAAGGCAACAATTTGGGAGGGGGGAATAATTATTAATACAAAGGCAATGCAATAATCTAATTCTCATTTGTTTCAGTGGTCACAGGTTAGGAGTAAAAAAGCAGCTTAGAAGAGAGATTCATTTATGAGGAATGTATGCAAATAAATTGCCATAATTCCTTTTTTTTATGTAAGTAGATACATCGGTAGTTATCAGCTAAATCATTGGCATATAAAGTGGTTACAGAGTTGGCTAATACAATACGTCTTTTGTTGTGAATTTCTCATTCAATCAAATACAGTTTTTTCCATTTCCTTTTATGTATTCAGAGATTGAGTATGATGTATGTGGATCCGTAGGAACTCTACAATTTCCATGTGGGCAGATTTCAAAGCCAGGGACAAAGCAGAATTGCCAGCCTACATAATGAAAAACAAAAAAAAAAGGAGATTATTGTGCCAGCTCTCCTAAGCTCTTTACTTTTCCCAGATAGCAGACATACCCATATTTAAAGCTGCATATTTATGATGTGAACCATATAAATAAAGAATAGCGTACTTGTTTTTACTATATATTAGTCAAGCCCATTAGGACTTCTATGGGAGAATAGTCACCTATCTATCAACTATCTGTGGAGTCCTTGATGCTCTCTGAGCTTGGTTATCTTCTTGCAGACATTTCATTACTAAACTAGGTAACATCATCAGTGCTCACTGATGATATTACCTAGTTTGGTAACGAAATGCCTGTTAGAAAGCAATCAAGCTCAGAGATCACCAAGGACCCCATAATTCAATCCGGAGCTACAAATATTCTCTTCTATTGGTATCATTTCTTTCTCTTTCTCTCTCATGATCCTCTTTATCTGTTCTGGATCTTTGGTAGCAGGTATGAATTTATATTTTAAATTAGGCATCTGAAGTACAGGTAGTCCTCAACGTATGACCACAATTGAGCCCAAAATTTATGTTGCTAAGTGAGAAATTTATTAAGTGAGTTTTGCCCCATTTTATGACTTTTCTTGTCACACTGGTTAAATCAATCACTGCAGTTCCTAAATTAGTAACACTGTTGTTAAGTGAGTCTGGCTTTCCCATTGACTTTGCTTGTCAGAAGGTCACAAAAGGTGATCCCACAATTCTGAGACACTGCAGTTGTCATAAATATGAACCAGTTGTTAAGCATCTGAATGTAAACCCCATGACCATGGAGATGCTGCAACAGTCATAATTGTGAAAAAAGGTCATAAGTCACTTTTTTCAGTGCCGTTGTAATTTCAAATGGTCATTAAATGAACTGTTGTAAGTTGAGGACTCTCTGGACACACATTCATTCATAGAGTGGCAGCCCACCATTGGCTAGTTAAATCAAATTTTTACTGTGAATAAAACAAAGAGTTTGTTAACATAATGCTTGACAACATGGAAGCCAGTATGGTCCAATAATAAAATGTTAGATAAATACTTTGATTTCTTTTGATTTTACAGAACCATATCTCTCTTAACAAAATCAGTCCTCTGTAGAGTGGACCACTAATTAATGGAACAGCTCCTTTATCTCAATAACACTGACTGGATGTAGAATAAACATGAGCTATTTGTGAAGAAGGATGCTGATGGTTTCCAGCTGCCTCAGTGCTTATGAAATTACAGGCACATTATAAATCATGGCCTTGCCTTAGACCTAGTTTGCATATTGTGCTTCCAAACCAAGCACTTTTGCAATGAGTCCAAACTTGATAAGACTCATCTGTACCTAATTATAGCCTTTTCTTCAACTTCCATCAGAAAAGTAAACAAAAGTTTTTCCCAATGTAAATCAAACTATGAACAAAAGATAAGCTGGGGTGTATTTAGTCTAACTGAATTATTTTCCTGAATAGAAACTAGTCTCACACCCAGAAAACTCAGGATCAGTTTTATGGAGGTTATTTAATAAGTTCTGATTAATACATTTTAAAGAATCTAGACTGACATTCCACCAATAGCTAGGTAAACCAATTTTTTGCTGTGAGTAAAATGAAGAGTTACTCAACATAATGTATGAGAACATGGAAGCCAGCAAGGTCCAATAGTAAAAGGTTAGATAAATCTTTCGATTCATTTCTATGTTTAATTATATGAATAATTATTCACAAAGCTTTTCATTGTATTTGCTAAGTGTTCTATATACATCATCTATACTGTCATTTTAAAGATTCTTAAATTTGGTTCAGACTGCAAAGGAAATTAGCAAGAGTATTACTTTGCTCTACCAGTAGGGAACCAGCCATGAAGAATTTTAGTTTGTAATATGTATTTCAAACAAAGCATGTATCTACATACTCAATCTTGTTATATCATGAATTTTTAATCTATAGATACTATAAAAATTGTTTGCTGCCATGCCTGTTTTACTCCATGATGCTGCCATTACACCATGTGATTTAAATTACTGGTGCACATATAATTATGGTGTTTATGGGTATTATATCCACACAAACTCATGCTAATCTGTGACTGAGTAAAATAATTACTTGTAAGAACTATACCCTTTACAAAGTACTCCCTTTTAAAGGATCTATCAGTCAAATCAAGAGCAGATTTATCTGAATAATATAGATTTCTATAAGAATGTCTGCATTCTGAAGGGGAAAAAAACCATCCATAACTCTTAAACTGAAACTTGCTGGGGTTAATATCTGGCAAGCTTATTTTTCAATATGGCTGAAATTGAAGGATCTTTTTAATTTTAGTTTTATAATTGACACAAAAAGAAGCAAGCAAACAGCTTTAAAAAGCACACAGTATAATATTGTGAAAATATAGCAATATCTGTTCTCTGTAAAAAAAATTGTAAATATTAACAGATTGCCAATAATGCCATGTTTAGAATGCTTGTTAAAACTCAGATAATCTTAAGCCAAAACGACCTCCATGCCAGATCCTTTAAAATAACCACACTTTTATTAAATCAAAAGTATGAAATGTTTTTTGCCTGCCTAACAAATTTCATCCAACTGGGCACCCCTTCAAAGAGCTGTCATTATGGAAACAGTCCTAGTCCAAATAATTTTGTAAGTGAGAACTCATACGGAACACGTAGCCCAAAATATGTGGGAAAAATCTTATTTTTCTCACCTTGTCCACTAATGTAGGATCGCAGCCTGAATGAGATAAAAGAAGTTTCACCATCTCCAAATTACCATGTTGAGAAGCCACCATTAATGGTGATAGGCCATCTTCATCCTGAAGATTTATCTCGGCATTGCATGACAGCAATGCTTTCACCATATCTTCTCTATCATGGCTCACTCCCAAAATTAAGGCTGTCTGTCCACCCTAGAAAATACCATTAAAGAGGGTTACATACCATGTACTCAATTTTACTATACCATACTCATTCACTTTAACCTCACTGGTAAAATACCAATCTGCAAGCAGTCCATTAGAATATATTATATATATCAGTGGCGGCGAACCTATTGCACACGTGCCAGAGGCGGCACTCGGAGCCCTCTCTTTGGGCACACATGCCATTGCCCAGCCTTGTCTCCCCCCATGCCCCCCTCCTCACCAGCAGCCCCCCTGGAGGAGAGTTGCCCGAGCATGGCCCATGTGGAGCGGCGCAGCCAAGGACATGGCAGCTAGGCAGCATAGACAAGACTCTGCCCTCACGCCCCATCGTGCACAGTTCATGCTGCGGGGTTCGGGCAGAGGGTGTGGCTGCCATGGTGCTGCTGGGCTGCCTGGGCGATCTGCGGCGGGCCCTGGAGGCAGCGAGTGGCCCTGTGGGCAGGCAGGGGGGGCGGAGCAGAGGGTGGAATGGGGGCGAGGTCAATTTTTGGGCACTCAGTCTCTAAAAGGTTCGCCATCACTGATATATATATATATATATTACATTATAATCTTCTCTCCCTTTCCATTATTCATCTTACGCTAGTCATCTGATGTCTTATTCCTCTGCATCTTCATTTTGCCTTTTTCTTTCCATATGTAGTTTTATTTTTTATTTTTAAAAGACTTTAATCTAAAGTTTGTTTGCATTAGGAAAGTGTGTAATGATTCGTGAATCTGCGCACTGTTTTGCATTTTTTCATTTGGCATAGATAAGTAGACTTATTTTTTCCAATTTTCAAGTTACTCCAGGTTATATTTTCTTGCTCTATACTTGGCATTTTTGCCATTTGTCACTTTAGAGGCCTCAACACCTGCAGTTAGCATTTCATCTATACCTTGCACATCCATTGTTTTTATTTACAAATAATTTATCGCCTATCATATTTAAATTCCAACAATTTCAAGTGAAATTGTTCCTGAATAAATTCCCAGACTATAAATGTATTTATCATTCCACAATCCTGTGTGTAAATTATTTTGATACAGCTTTTCTATTTTCCTTCAACCACATTTACTTTCTGTAAATTTTACAGTACTTCGGCAGTAAATGTCCATGTAATTCCTCTTAAAATTCTTCTTAAAAATGCCTCTTCTTTTTTTGTCTTGTTATTGTTAACATTTTTTACTTAGATTTCTTTTTTGGTCTTTTCTTACTTGATGCTGAACATTTATGTTCAATTATCATATATTCTTGCTGCAGAAACTATTCATTCCCCATTTTTTTCCTAAATGTGATAGCTTGTTATGAAACCATTTGCATATTTTCTTTTTTCAAATCTTTGTTTGGGTTTTTTTTTCCTATTTTTGTTTTCACAGTGCCTACCTCTTCCCATAGTGCCTAGGTTCTCTTTTGCATAACCTATGTGCGGAATGGGACGATTCAACACCCACTAGCTTGGCGCAGCCAACTGGGGGCATCCTGCTTGCCACCATCAAGTCCCTTCTGCCAACTTGGTGCCACCATTTCTTTGCAGGACATGTCAACACAGGAAAGTCACTGCAGGTTTAACTCGCTGCAGGCACCAGATGGGAAGCCATGCGAGTGACTGGATGAGCAAGTGAGAAGGCTGTCAGAGAGGGCAGTGATAGGGGGGCGCAGGCAGGAGGGCAAGCGAGAGACCTGTCAGAGGGTGCTGGCAGCACCGAGCTAGCATCAAGTTTTCATAGACCCACTTATGTTTATCAATGGGTCCTTATATTGATCTTATATGTACGATATATAATGTATAATATATTATGTAACATATATAATATATATGCTAGATTTATTATCTATTTATATATCATTTATAATGATATAATGTAATATATATTACATATAATATATATATTACAATACAGAATATACAATTTTATACGATTATATGGTCTCCAAATGAAATCTTGATAGCATAGCTAATCTCTTTAATTTTCAAAGAGATTTCAGACCACAGTTATGTAGGTATAACCTGTATACCCGTATATTTGTGATCTGTTTCACAATCTGTACCTATAAAAACTCTTAGTAGATTGTACCTCCATCTTCTGATTTTTTTTATTACTATTATTATGGAGTCAGTTTTATTTATGTTGATGTTAATCCATCTGTTAATGTCTAGGACTGGAAATAGAATGTGTGTTTACATGGTTTAAAGCACATATTGAACCAAAAGCATCTCCACAAAACCTTTCTGCAGCATTATGGCATTTACCCAATGTAAACCTTGATGTAATTCCAAGTTCCTCAATTTCTTAATTCTAATTACCTATGAGTAACTCTGTAGAAGTTGCATTCAGCAAGTTTTGCAATTAGCAAAATGGACCAGATCCAATCCACCTAGGACTACTTATTCCTAAAATAACTAATTTAGTCTACTTCACTTCTATTTTAACAATTTAAAGTCTTCCTTGATTCCTGCTCTTCACATTTTATGTTCCAATCAAAGGAACTCTTTAGTACTGACCTCTCAGTGATTAGATTCCTTGTGATGAAATTGTCTCCAGATCTACTCATGAAAGTTTAATGCTGTTTTCTTTTAACTAGAGAAGGATGTTCTGATCTGATGAGTTTCATCATTTAACACCAAAACATTTCTAAATACTGTAACGATGTTCAGTTTTCTTAGCTGCTGTATAAAAAAGTGTTTGTTCTTGTTTTTTTCCTGGTTTTATTTTGGAGTTCTTTGTCCTAGATGATACGTGCATATCATGATTTAATAATACACAAATAATGAAACATTATTGGACAACATCATCAAAGTAGCCCTTGGAGTTAACAAAAAATTAAATATACCTGGCTAGCCCTTATATTGACATTGCCTTCTTGCAAGAGCTTCTTGACTACTTCCATTTCTTCCTCGGTCTCTGCTGATGCTAGTGGAGTGATCATTACTGCTGTATACCCAGCTTTATTTTGATAATCCACATCACAAACACCTGAAGAACAAAACAAAAATTTAGATATCAGTAATCAGAGAAGAAGACTTTCCTAAATTGATTTATTTATAGTGTCAAAACCTGATCCTGCCTACCTAGTTTGAACTCCTTCTCCTCTACTGAGCTGCTCTTCCACTGGGTAACTCTGTTAGTAGAGAGGAAGAGATTTTACCTCAGCTGAATGACCATTGTACCTACAAGAAGCTCCATGATGTTACTGACAGCAAGGTTTCCACAAACAAGAATCAACAGCAAGAACAGCACAAGTAGAAATAGGAAGTCTACATTCTTCTAAGGAGCTCCCACACGTTGTGGGGGAGATGCTTAATTAAATTAGCAGCCAAAGCAATTGGGGATAGATGCAACAAAGTATCTTTCACTAGATGCATAACGACAGTGAAACCCCCAAGTTCACAAAATGGTCACAAGGCTTACAAAAGCAATGCATTAACATGCAGGAATCTTAGATATTTAGGATATCTAATAACTACAACATGGGATGACCTTGCTGTGGGCTAACCCAGAACCTCTACATTCTGATCTTCTAAGGAGACTCCACATGTCTTAGCCCCTTCTAACAAAAACAATGTCTGTTATTGTACCCATATATTGATGCCCTTCACACCACAGAAAAGACCACAATCTGTTTTTTGTTATCTGCCTCCTTCCTTCAAGGTCAACAGGTAGCTTCAGTTCTGCCTAATACACATTTCAGTATCATGTATGTAAGGAGAATAATCTTTGTCCTCAGCCTCTACATCTATAGAGACAAGAGCTGATAGATTATGGTCTCTCACTTCTATTGTACCGAATGAGAGAGAGAATTATATATATATATAAAAAAAACCTTTCAGTCTTGGCCAGCATTGGCAGCAGGACCTTTAGTTGCTATGTGATTTGTTTGGCTCCACTCCTCTCTGACCTCAGTTTAGGATGCATTCTTCACTATAATATTTACTATAAATCTATTTCCTCATTACACAAACCAGGAAGATGTACAGATAATTGCATTAACCAAGAAACCCTTTCTGTTACTTCCACTTTAGGATAGTTAATTTACAAGATAGATTTTATAAAGAATATTCATATGTTTATGGATTATCAGTCAAGCAGGTCAATGTTGTCCCAAAGGTGTTTTTTCAAGAGGTAGCTGGATTTTCAAGGAACTGAAGAAGTTTCTTGGATGAGAAGTGAAATGTCTTCAAGGAAAAACAAAGAAAGTCCAGTTGCTTCTTGAAAAAGCATCTTTGGGACAATACTCACATGTTTTTTTCAGACCATGGGAAAATCATAATGGAAACTTCTCAAAATGTTGTTGTATTCCCTCCCTTCATCAACTTTACTCCTTTGGCTTTATTTAGAATCTACCTCCAACAAACACAGAAGCATAAAAAGGCATCTTAAATGAATAGCATAATGAGGAATTTTTGATTCATTTCGTCTCATCCCAGGAAGGGTAATTCTTGATTACTAGTCAGGATTTTTGAACACATTTGTAAAGTATTTTCAGAATATTTTTGTTGATATATAAGATCTTGATATGTTACCTTTTTGCAAACATAAATAGGCCCCTAAGTAATAGTGACACTTTTTATCTTTGGTCAGCAGAGGTCAGTACTATGCAAAATTATCTAGACAATTAATGCCAACTTGAACATCACCCAAGAAAATATGCTGAGATAATAAACAGAATTACAATTTCATTCAAAATATGTTTCCATACAGTTGGATTCTGGGCAAAAAAAAAAATAGGAAGGAATAGGGAAAGTAAGAGTTACCTTCATTAGACAAATACGGATTAGAGCCAGATTTAGCCCATCAGAACCAACTCACCAAAATCTTTTAGGATGTAAACTAGATTTTATCCATCATGTCTGATTGAATGTCTACATTTTCCATTTATTTCCTGTACTCCTATCAGATACTGATTGCCCTAACCATCATCCATGCAATCCATCCAACCATCCTTTTTTTTTCTGCTAAACTTTCAAATAACCATAGTTTTGGGAGTAGAATTCCTCAAAGAAAGAGGCAAAGTAAAAGAACAAAAGAACAGACTATAGTGAGTAAAGAGTAAAGAGTAAAGAAAAAGGTAGTTCAGGAGCAGAATGCGTGCTTTTTAAAGAAATTATCCCAAGAAGCAAAGTTGATAAAGACATTTGCTTGCAATCAGTTAGAGAAGAGAAATACAGGGTGTCCTTTAAGCACTGAATCATTACTAGAACTTTAGATCATTCTTCCTTTTTTTCATAAAGACTTGAAACAATTTAGTATTTAAAGTCCATGTGTAGCTCTGAACATAATTGCCCAAGGGCAGTCTGCTGGCAGAACAAAACAGCCTTGTTTGAATCTTCTGGAGCTGTTAGGAAGTTTTAGCGTAACAATTGATTTACAGACACTTATGATAATATGCCACTTTTCTAACATTTTATAGATTGTCATGCCAACTCAATAGTAAAAAAGCTTCTTTCTTCTCAGTAGAAAATGAATTCATGTTTATTGGATGAGGATTTCACATGACTTTTCTATTTGATCTAACAATCACTTCTCTTATAATCTTAAAAGCTTACAAGTAACAATTCCTAATTATGAAATATTAGTTCAATTCTTGACATAGAATATGTACTTTTGCTGCATGCATTCCTATGGTCAATGTACCAAATGCCATAAAATATTTAAAAAGTTTCATTCATCTTCAGATGGTAAACATAAATAGGGAATATGATTGATGCTTAAAGTATGAAACAATTTTCAACAAAATTAGATTGTGGAGGTTCCATTATATGTCTGCTTTGTCAAGTCTACTGATTCTTAGGAATACAAAAAGGGAAGACTCTCTGATTATTTATTTGTTTTGTTAGGCTGCTCAACTCACAAAAAGATTCTAGCATAAGTCAAGAAGGCCTAAAATTAAAACCTGAAGTTAAAACCTAAAGCTAAAACCTAAAAAATAATGATAGTTATATAAGTATATTAGAAATCCACACACTTGAATAATACTTACATTATATAGGTATATATATATAAAATTGAAACTCTTAAGTGTTATAACAATATATTAGACTACACTTTATTTTTTTCTCTTGATTTTTAAACTTTTTAAAGTACTTTTTAATGCATTGTTGGGTGAATATTTGTATTTTAATTATAACTTTTTTTGGATTTTGTTCTTTTTCCTTTTCCTTCTCTATTACTACTAAAGAAAATTTTAAAAAACTAATTTTAAAGACTGAACACCTAAAGCCTAAGGATAGAATATAGTAATAAATGAGACTGGAATGACAGACAACAGAAATAGATAAATAGCCTTTGATTTCTTCCATGTACAGTATACCATGTAGGAAAACAAACTTAGTAGAACATCCACCAAAATGATGACCAAAATGTGTCACAAAATTGTGATGCAATACATGCAGGTCCAACATTGGGAAATAAATATGAAAGACAGGGGAGGGGTTGAGAGAACATTTGGTCATTTTTCATCATGGCATTTTGTACCAGGCATCTATGACACTGGATTTGGCAGTATAAAATGGAATGGAAAAGGCCAATTCTGTGGGACTTTTCAAAGCCCAGCCAATGGAAACAAAGCTTAAATCAAGGATTCTTACCTGTCTCTAAAAGAAGCTTCACAATCCAAAAGTTAGAATGCGAAACACTGTAATGTAGGGCTGTGTTGCCATTTCCATCGGCTAAATTGACAATGACACTCTGTAGGTGGGGATGAACCGCCTCAATCTCCTGGAGGTAAGCTGCAACAATTTCAGGAGAAGACGATTTCCTGCTCGAGATCCGGAACCACTCCTGACAGACAGTGCTCAATACATGCCTCTAAAAAAGATCAGGATCTGATTTAGATTAACAGTGTTTGTAAACTATCCAACCATGTTTGTATTATTATTTTTTTGACTCCCAACCCAAACCACAAGAATCTCACTTTGACCTCTTGGGAATAGATGGGTTTTTATTTATTATGGGAAAATCTACAGCTTTATTTAAAAGCTATGAATAATATTGTATCTGAAATATAGTTGTATTGCTTGCAACTTTCTACTAGAAAGTTCCTTTCATTAAATTCTGAGGGGAATATATTCAAGAGTTGTCCCTTCAATTTATCATATAGTCAGAGTATATATTTAAGAAACTATTTCTCTATTTCAGGTTCATTAATTTTAAGTGTTTTTATATTCCACCCAGGGTCTCTCCAATAGTGAGATGGGAAGTATATAAATATAATAAATAAATAAATAAATAAACCATGCACATCTAGCTAATCTATGGAATGCTCTATTGTGGAAATTAAATTATTGGGAGGATTTCTCTTTTTCCCCCAAAATTTTTAGATTTTCTGGAGAGTTCTTTACACTCTCTGTTCATTTGACACCCACCTAATTCTTCTAAATGGATAATTTTCCACACTTTTTGGTGTTTTTGTTCTCTGATATAGCCCCTAAGATTATTGGATGAAGAAGAGTAAGGGTTCATAGTGTAATTATGTTTAGCTACATTGCTTGAATTGATGATTAATTTATGACACCTCTATCTTCAGTATTTTACCTAGCTGGATTTTTTAAAACTAATCTATCAGATAAGTAAACCATAATATTTGAGAGTCAATGATGTTGGTATTAAGATGCTAGATCAGAAACGAGACCAGGAATTCTAGTTATCTAGTTAGACATGTAAGTTAATTGGATGATTTTAAGCCAATCACTCTCTCTCAGCCCACCCTTCAACATAGAGCTGTGGTTATGGGGAAAACAGTAGGATTTAGGTGATTTTGAATTGTATTAAATAAAGGTAGGATATAAACCTAATTAATAAATAATTTAAAAACCAGTTATATCAAAAGTTGTTGGCCTTCCTGCACTTTCTTCCTAATGCAGAAGATAACCAGAAGATAACTATTTCCTAAGATACTGACTTCATGTTACAAATAATACTATTTATTTCTGAAATGCATACATTGGCTTAATCCATTCAGATTTTAGGCAGTATCTATGTGTATATATTAAACATTTCAGTTATTACAGTTAACTGGCAATTACTTCTGTTTGCACTTTGTTCAGAAGATAGACTTATTCTGGTGTCGGATTTATTATATTTAATTAAAAACAATTAATAAGCAATACTATTAAGAAACAACTTTTGCATCCTATAACTTTTGGGATAATTTGGGACAAACAAGATGTCATAATAAAGTTTCTACAAATGGATTACAATGACAGTTTGTTTTTGTCTTACTATTATTATTCTTCCTGTTAACTTCTTTGTCACTAACGTAACATATAGAATGCAGCTCAACAATTTGGGCATAGATTTAGTAGTATAAAAATTTTGGGAGGGCCTGTTCTGTAAGGGGTGGGAACTAATTTTGTAATAATATTAATCAGTACTCAACTAGATGGGATAATATGTATATGTATATGTACTAGATGGGATAATATGTATATGTATATACAAAGAGTGTCGATTCCTGGGTATACATTTTACTTCCTGGTGGTCGTCTTTTATCTTATATACTTTTATCAAGTATATATATATATATATATATATATATATATGTAGGTCTTTGGTTGTTCGGGTTTTCTCCCACGTAAAATTGGAAGTGTCTTGGCGACGTTTCGACGAAGTCCCATTCGTCATCTTCAGGCTGGTGCTTTCAGCTTCGTGCCTCGAGCAGCTGCTCGAGGCACGAAGCTGAAAGCACCAGCCTGAAGATGACGAATGGGACTTCGTCGAAACGTCGCCAAGACACTTCCAATTTTACGTGGGAGAAAACCCGAACAACCAAAGACCTACATACAAATACCCGCGAAAACCTCAGAAAACACACACATATATATATATATATATATATATATATATATATATATATATATATATATATATATATATATACTTGAAAGATAAAAGACGACCACCAGGAAGTAAAATATATACCCAGGAATCGACACTCTTCGATTTTTAGTTTAATTTTGAATACATACACACACACACACACACACGTATGTATGTATGTATGTATGTATGTATGTATGTATGTATATCTTTTTTTCCCCTTGATGCACTTTTTAAAAATATTTTCATTGTTTTGTGTTTTGTGGGTTTTTTTCTCTTTTTTGCTCTTTGGGAATTTTTTTTTAGTTTTGTATTTTAATCTTGTCTTGAACAATATATATATATATAATGATTAAACATACATTGTCACATAATAAAAGATATAATGCAATGTAAATTTTAAAAGGCTCCATGTCCTGTGTTTTCCTATTGTGTTCATACCACAAATTTCAGCATTTCTGAAAATTTCAGGGCTCGTGCTAGCTAAAAATTCTGTGGCATGCAGCTTAACTTTTCCTGAAAGATACCAAGCACACACTATACACATAAGGAATTGTAGTCCAAATGTGGATCTTAGCAACACATTGTCCAATAAAGAAAAACAAAAGACATTGATCTTTTTTTTTTTTTTAATCCTTGTCTCATGTTGCAATCTCCTGCAGCCTCACTTTCTTTGTAGCTAAAAAAAGATTGGGGGTCAACATGTTCTAATGTGAGATTTGCAATGCATTGTCTTTTTTTTTTTTTTAACAAAAGAACTTTATTGTTGTCCCTCACAAGGATGACAGGGAGTTCATATATTTATGAATGTATATTTGCACTTACACTTAACTTAGTCATTAAATTCTACCCAAAAATGCAATGTGGTTTTTGAGAAGAGGAAGTTCAAAATTCCTATGACTATTTACACTTAGTGCTCCTATATAAAATTAAACGTAAATTATATGATTTTAAAGAAAGATTTAAAAAAACCCACATGATTAAAATGCAAGTGAAAAAAAAATAGGAGTACCAGGAATTTTTCCTTTGTGGTCCTTATTTCTGACATGTTTTTGCTTAAGATCTGGCACCCTTTGAGAAAATCTCCGGAAGGTCTAAATCTGAAAATGAAAAACATAATTATCTGTGTTTACCTAAGAAATACATATGGAATGGTGATTGGGAATTGGAAAAAATATATAGCTATGGTAATGGACAAGAGGAATTGTAACTTTTCCTTTTATTCCTTTACTACCAATGCTACTTTTATTATTAAGGCCTTTCTTTGTACACAAAAGTCTCCTAACTTATTGGAAAAGTTCAAAGCAGAAAGTCAAAATAGAAGTTAGGGTTACAGCAAGAATTTAAATTCTTCCCTACAATAAGTATGTTAACAATACTAACCACAATCCAATGGAGTGAAGCACGCTAGATTCGAATTGCATGATTTTCCTTAGATTATACAGTATTCATCATTTTTATACACACAACACCCTGCCTAGTTAGGAACAGAGCTCCAGTTTATCATGGGTTTCCTTGAGAGAAAGTTCTTTCACAAGAATTATATAACTGCTGGTAAGTTACTGCATACATGAAGATGGCATTGTCTACAGAATGGCTCAAGGCTTTGATGGAGCAGAGGTGGCCCACAGGCTAAGCATTAAATTCTCTCATCTGATTTTTTTTTTCTATTAGAGTGCAAAGTGTCTTTTTTTCTCTCAGCATCACTATTCCAAAGTTAATTCCACTAATTTAAACAGATGCTTATAAATTTATTGCTAGCTTTGTAATTAAATATAAGTACTTAAATATACATTCTACATGAAACCCAAGATCTGCTCAAACTATACAGGTAGTCCTCCACTTACAACCACAACTGAACCCTAAATTTCTGTTGCTAAGTGAAACAGTTGTTAAGTGAGTTTTGATACATTTTACTACCTTTTTTGCCAAAGTTGTTAAGTGAATTGAGGCAGTTGTTAAATTAGTAACACGGTTATTAATCGAATCTGGCTCCCCCATTGACTTTGCTTGTCAGAAGGTTGCAAAAGGTGAGCACATGACCCTGGGATGTTGCAACTGTCATAAATATGAAGTAGTTGCCATGCGGATGCTGCAACAGTTGTAAGTGCGAAAAATAGTCATAAGTCATATTTTTTCAGTGCAGTTGCAACTTTGAACAGTCACTAAATGAATGTTGATAAGTCAAGGACTACCTGTATCAATAAATATCATCCCTGTTGTAACTTTTCGTTATATGAACACACATATTATTTTTCTCACTATATATTTCACCTGCATATAATGTTATGAAACACAAATTGTTATGGACTGGTTGCTTATAGTTATATACGAAGCTGTAATTACCGCTCAGCTTTATCTTGCATTGTTGATTGTGTGGTTTCCTCTAGTTTTTCTGGATCACAGTCCTTCTTTGCACTTTGAGGAGTGGCAGATGTTGATTGTTCATCTTCTTCCCCCCAACTTTGCTCTTCATTCCCATGTTTTCTATTCATCTCATTATCTGAATCACCTTCAAAGGAGTTTTCTTCACAGCTAGAATCTTCACTGGACGTGGTTTCATAACTGAACATGGACACCAGGCATTATTTAGTTTCTCTTTTGACAAGCAAATTGAGTAGTCAGCCCCAAATGTCTAACTCTAAAATCCATTCTATGCAAGACATTGTGGATTTAGGATGCAAAGAAGTTGATACGTATGTTCTTCTTATTCTTGGTAAATTTTTATATTGCTTATAGTAATAAAATATATATCTGAAATTAGCATAACTTGGAACTCAGAGCTGACTTGAAAAATAATTTTTTATTGTAAACCAGCCAGAGTCACTTAAGCTGATATGGAGAGAGAGAGAGAAAGAGAGAGAGAGAGAGATTAGATAGATAGATAGATAGATAGATAGGTAGGTAGGTAGGTAGGTAGGTAGGTAGGTAGGTAGGTAGGTAGGTAGGTAGGTAGATAGATAGATAGATAGATAGATAGATAGATAGATAGATAGATAGATAGATAGATAGATAGATAGATAGATAGAGGTAGATGGATAGAAATAATCCTCTTGTAAGAATTATAGTAACTTTTTAACTAGAGCTTGTTCTGAATAGTTTGCAGTACTATTCATGCAGAAGTATTAGGTGGCTGAGTTTGTACGCTGCATTGTTTATTTATTCACAGTTGTTGAGTAAGTCACAATTGCCAGGATTCACACAAAACGCTAAGCCAATAAGTTTAAAAACCTCAGTGGCTGAGTTCATGCAACATACTAAACAAAAAGAAATCACATTATGACTTAGAGTAATGTGTACAGTCAAGTGTTTATTCAGCCTAAGTTGAATGGCACTTAATTACAAGGAAATGAGCATAAAAGTGAAGCTACAGACAGAATAAATTGATTCCCAGAAACACAGTCTTTCTATTGACTGCTAATGCCAAAAAAAGGGGGGGAGGCTGTTTTACCTGGAAATACACATGACAGACATCTGTCTCATTGTTATTTATTGCTGATGTCAAAGCAACACTGCTATTTTACCTTGAATTCACCCTGTTAATCTATGCATTCCTGACATTCCTTTTTACTGCTTCCATGTAACAGTAGATAGAAGAGGCGTTTGGTGCATATATTTGAATAATGCATAATTTTGCTTGGGGGGGGAAAATGAATATTCTAGGCCACAAAAAGGTCAACCAGATACATTCAGATAACTCAAAACAGGGAAGGGGGAAGTTTCCCAGTTGCTCTGTAACAGCCTGGCATTCAAGGCATGTTACATCTAGCAGTTAGCAATCAAGACAAGCAGCCACTGGTCGCCATTTGTGCATTTTTTTTAAAGCAAAACCACTTCTGTGTCAGAGCACTTTAAAGCCATTAGCCCTTGTATGACTAGTCTCTTTTTATTGATTATGTTCTTCAGTTCCTGGAACTGAATCAAGGGGATGGATGCAATGGATAGAAACTAATCAAGGACAGAAGCAACGTAGAACTAAGAAGAATTTTCCTGACAGTTAGAACAATTAATCAGTGGAACAGCTTGCCTCCAGAAATTGTGGGTGCTCCAACACTAGAAGTTTTTAAAAAGCGATTGGACAACTATTTGTCTGAAATAGTATAGCGTTTCCTGCCTGAGCAGAGGGTTGGACTAAAAGACCACCAAGGTCTCTTCAAACTCTGTTATTCTATTTTATTCTATTCCTGCATCAGTAAGTTACTTTTTAAAAATGGTTCTCTACAACAGGCTGTTCCTGAAAGTCTGCAAAACGTGATCAAAGTAAATGTAAGGGAAATGGTTCTGAATTTGCAAATGAATTGTTACTAGCAGAATTGTCTTGACGATACTTGTTTTAAATTGTAAGGAATTGCATTAAAAGGTTTTAGTGTGAGGAGAACCTTACAGTAAACCATGGAATTAGCTTGTATTTATTGCTTCATGAAGAAATCAAAGTTTGCTTGTACCTTCTTTTTGCATGTTTGATGATGCTATGACTAGAAAAATTCATATGACTGAAACTCGATATGGAGATAAATATAAAAATGAGAATAATGAAAGAAAAATTAAATTTCTCCCAATACCATAATTAATTGGTTGCTGTAGGGGACCTAAAACATCAATTTAGGTACAGAAGGAATCATAAAGTTATGACCAGTGATTAAGAGTACTGTGCGCTTTTAAATTTTTGAACCAAAAATTTTCATTCCCATCAGATCTGATGCGTAGGCTCATCTGAATTAGGTAACTAACTTACCTGAGTGTGAACTTAGGCAATAATTCTGTAGTTTACTAAATCATACCTGTGTTTGTAGACACCTAATTCTACTAAAATAATTTAAAACATTTCCACAAATATGACGAAAACGATATTTGTGATTTCCACGTATGAGCCCACTTGTTAATGAAGAAGTAATTTTAATTATTTAATGAGTGATATTAAATGAAACCAGATTGAGATTATTCTGCAAAGACTTTCCCCAAAACTTTAAAGAAATGCTATTGTGGTTCACACTAAACCATGCCTTAGCATTTAATGCCTTGGCACACATTCCTGGATTGCTCCAACCTTACCTCATTACTCTAGTACAGTGGTTCTCAACCTGTGGGTCAGGACCCCATTTGGGGTCGAATGACCATTTCACGGGGGTCGCCAAACCACGCTGTCCGCCATTTTTTTCCCTTTTCCCTAGCTGTCCTACTCCCTCTTATTGGTGGCCACACCCACTTGGGGGTCACCACAACATGGGGAACTATATTATGGGGTCACAGCATTAGAAAGGTTGAGAACCACTGCTCTAGTAAAAGCACAAGGAAGAGATTTGTATCAATAATTATATCCAGATTCAGGAAGAATTTGATTAGTATTTAGTAAACAGCCCAAGACATCAATTTCAAGATTGCTTTTTTGGTATATCAAGGCACAATAACTGTTTATTTCTTCCTAGCATTATGAAGGAGGAGGGGGGAGAATAGGATGACTCACTGCAGTCAGCTCATCCCTTTCAGTCAGCCGTGGGACAACTTGCCATGAGACAATTCCACACAGGATAACTGAATGCAATAAATGTTATCCACCATTGCTTCTTTGACATTATTTCCGTTGACAAAAATAGTGGCGGATAACATTTATCGCATTGAATTATCCTGCGTGGAACTGTCCCACGATGAGTTATCCCTTGGCAAGTTGGCCGTGGTGAGATGTCTATGGCAAGTTGTCCTAAATGTGGAGGAGGAGCAAGACCCAATCCAAAAAAACAAGCTATTATCTAGTGCAGAAATGGATCTGTTTTCTCTGCTCAAATGAAGTTGGGAATAATCTGCTAGAGGCAGGAACTCATGGCAAAGGAAGAGGGGCACAAACAGGAGTCAGCAATCTTTGGGATGGGGACAATACTGCATTAATATTTGAGGAAGTAAGACTTCATTGACTAGAGACTGCAATTTGGGGTGCTACATGCAGCCTAGGATCTCCAGGTGTCCATTAGTATTGTACTGTATATGCCTACGTTAGTCGTTGGTTTAGGAGATAAGATCTACCCTTCAGATACTTTTTCTTCCTCTTGATGTTTGTCTTTGCCTAATTTTCTTATTTCCAGCAGTGATTGTTTTGCTTCTTGGAAGGAAAAGGAAGGCATTACTATAATCCTGATTACAATGATACAGAAATAAATGGCCATTTGCCCCTACGTAGTCTCATATAAACTCCTTCAACCATGAATAGTCATTGATTCTGCTCATTTACTGACTGAGTCAATTGTCAATTGCAGTAAACTTCAATTTTCCATGTGGTTATTCTTACAGATAACTGGCTCCACACATGCTTGCTTTACCCCTTTAAAAAAAAAATCCAGGGGAAAATATTGTTATGGAATAAAATGTCCATTTAGATTTGGAACCAAGGGGCAGGGATGACATATGGCTGGTGAGAAAGGATTTGATTAACAAGGGAGAAAAGTGCAGTTGACCAATCCTGATGCCCTGGAAGCCAAGTACTATTAAGCCTCCCCAAAAATGGCAGGACCTCACCATAACCAACCTATAATAGGAATTGTCCCAAACTGTGAACTGTACAACATTTCAGTCCTCTGAGCAATAGATTCCTGTGATTACAATTTCTGATGTTCCTTGCCGACGTCCCACAAGCAAAGTCAATCAGGAAGCCAACAGGAAATCAGAAGTTGCAGTCATGTGAGATCCACGCTTAACAATCTATGCAGTCCTTGCTTAACTATGGCAAACAGGATTGCTGGAATTGTCAGGGTTTCATGATGTGATCATGTGACACTGCATTTTACAACCCCATCACTTAGCCCAGTGGTTCTCAACCTTTCTAATGCCGTGACCCCATAATACAGTTCCCCATGTTGTGGTGACCCCCAAGTGGGTGTGGCCACCAATAAGAGGGAGTAGGACAGCTAGGGAAAAGGGAAAAAATGGCGGACAGCGTGGTTTGGCGACCCCCGTGAAATGGTCATTCGACCCCAAATGGGGTCCTGACCCACAGGTTCAGAACCACTGACTTAGCCGGTCCCAATTGTCATCCTAACCTGAAAGCTACCTGCATTGAGGCTTATTGCATAATCCATTACTCATTCATTCATTGGAAAGAGTATCGTTTCTTTTCTGAAATGTGGGTTCAGCTTCTCCTTAATCTCTAAGCAAGGAATCAATTACACTTGAAGCAGGAATATGCGACTTCTATTAATTACATTCTCTTTATTGCTTCTTGGCAATTTTTGACAGCGATCTAATCCACAGTAGAATGTAAAAGGAATAAATGAAGTTACATTTAATTAGACATGTCCATATCATTTTAGGTACACATGCAATGAAGCATTATAAATGAAAAGGCAATCTTGTCCCTTCCACTGATGCTTACCCACCATTTACCCCAACAAACTGAAGGTTCTTTTTGGTGCCGTTACTTCCTTCGTGGAAACCAGCTTCTTTCTTTTTCATAATAGATTTCAGACTTGTGCTTGGAGAGATTTCTGATAGAAATAAGTTTTAAAACAATTATATAAAAATAGTATCATCACAGCTCTTTCTTGATATTATCATATATGTTATAAATGTTGAGTTCTACTGCCATTTTTCCCCCCTGCCAGATGTTCATGATGGACATTCCTAGGTGGTCAAGACTTCATGCAGCCATCATGCATTCTTCCCAATATACAGGAACTCTCAAGCTAACATAGAAGATGTAGTAGAAAAATCTTCCATGCTGTTATCTACTGTGAGTCATACTAACACATTATGGCAGCAGAAATCCGTAAAAAAGAATTGTGACAACATAAGAACAAGAACTGAGGGATACTGTGAGCAACCAAGAAATAAACACAGGGATCACCAAACAAATCACTCCAGAGATTTCATTAGAGGTACAAATGACCAGGTTCAAATTGTCTTACTTTGGACACATTATGGGAAGATTTAGCTCTCTGAAGAAGGCTCTATTGCTGGGAAGGTGGAATGAAACAAGAGGACAACTAGTAGCAAGGTGGGCGGGCTCAGTTAAATTGGTGATGAGTGTATAACTGGAAAATCTGAAAGACCATAGTGTAAGGATAGATTATTATGGAGAAAATCTACCTGTGTTGTTGCTAAGAGTCAGCACTAATTTGAATTATCATGTTCAGATGGAAGATGCTATGAGTGACAATGGACATTATTCCTCTTTTCCCTCATTGCCCTGAATTGACTCAGTGATGATTTGACTCATTTCTCAAGCTAACTTTTAATTGTCATCTTTCCAATTGGGCTGATAAAAGAGCTGTAAGTGAATAGGAAAAGAATTGGATCAAACAACAACAGTTCTCAACATAGAGCATTTCTCTGAAAGGCAACAAGCAAGCATACGGGAGTGGTATTAAGCAGCAGTGAGATATTATTCATCCAGCTATCTACACAACATAGTCCAGCCTAGACTCCAGTCTTTTGCCTTCGGACATAGTGAAGGATATTGTTCCATGATCAGTCTAAGGTGCCTCGAGAGACATCATGTTGTCTATCAATACGGCCAAGTACATTTCTTGAGCTAGACCTACTCCACATGACAAATTGCCAACTGCAGAACCAGGGGAACTAATCTGAGATATTCTAGATAATAGTTGTTTGTTTGTTTACTTACTTACTTACTTACTTACTTGTATCCCATCTTTATTATTTTTACAAACAATCCAACACATCTTCTTCCTCTTATTTTCCCTACAAAAACAACAATCCCGTGAGGTGGGTTAGGCTGCAAGAGAGTGACTGGCCCAAGGTCATCCATCTGGCTTTCATGACTAAGGCAGGACTTGAACTCATGGTATCCTGCTTTCTAGCCTGGTGCCTTAACCAACAGACCAAACTGGCTGTTATCCACAATGAAAAAGACTACCAGAGTTCACATTTAGTTTAAAATGCTAATAACAGTATCTTTTGCTACAAGACACTCTTTGGTTGTTTGTAACAAACAGTTGGATTGTATCGTCTGGACATTTCTACTCTGAAAAACTGGGGCTACCTATGTTAGCCTAATCTGGGCAAAAATAAAACTAATGACGATGACAGTACATAACATTTGGAAGGAATTAATTTGCTTATCTCCACAATGGAGCACTAGGTCTCAGTATGAAAAATTGGTTATTGGTTCTTCTTGCCAAAGGATTATTGAATTGAGCTAACTAATTGTGACTTTAAATTATTAGCACAAATTAAGGCTCTTTCTTTTCAAATGTATCTACATGGTTTTAAGTTCTGAAATTTAAAACTTTATATTCAAATTACAAACTTAGTGCATAGTTTTCTTTTAGCATTAATTGCCTTAGAATTTTTATCTTAAACACAGGAATAGATAGTTGTGTGGTTTAATATCTTCATACAAATGCAAGAAATCTGACGTCGTCCAGGTACTTTGATAAGCCACAGTTGATAAGACTTAAAATCCAAAATATCTGGGCAACGTCAGATTGATGGAAAAGATTGTAAGAGGACAACAAATTACCTACCTCTTCATCACACTGAAAATCTTCAAATGGGTCACTTTCTGAACTCCGTAGATGGCCTATACATTACAGAAGATCTTCCTGAATTTGCTAAAATGTTTTGCTGTATGTCATATCATGTGCTATGATTGATTATACATGGGGATGGCAACATATTTGGTAGTATCACCAAGTATCCACCATTTGGCAGGGTTCTGGAATCACGTTAGGCAGCCTAAAATGTTGGGAACTTATTTTAATATTCCAATCTAATTTTCAGCTGCATGCTCAATCCCCCTATCCAGACCAGAGCAAGCACATACCACTCAATTCAGGTATAAAAAATAATACATGGCTTGATGTTTATTTATTAAACATCAGCACACACCAAAACAGTTAACTGACAAAAGCAGGAAAATGCAAGGAGATAAACCAGAAAAACAGGCATGAATTTACCTATATCTCTATACGTAAAAAGGCACAAAATTTTCCAGAACCACTGGAAACTATATTGTGAATAAACAGCATCGGTGGTGGCCTTTCTTTTATACCATGTTTAAGCCTTTTATGTATAAAATGGCAGAAGAGAGATTGAAAGAAGGAAACCAAGTGATCCCTCCTCAATTCTGCACTATTAATGAAAGAACTGATTGAATAGGGATGATGCGTCCAACATAAAAAATCCCTTCCCTATTTCCCACAGCTTTTCTATTTTTCATTTAGGATTTTGTCCCTTTATTGTTTTCTTGATTTGAAAACTCTCGGGACCTACCAAGTCTGTTTAATATCTTCCTTTTGGGCATTTTAGGCACAAGAGCAAAGACATTCTCATTTTTAATTTCAGACTGAACTATGACATTTGACAGAAAATTTTAAGAGACAGAATAGAATAGTATGAGAAACAACTTTCAATACGTTTGGGAAAGGACATCCTACATTGCGTAAATTATGAGAACAAAAATTTGTGAAATGGAACATGAATAAGGCCTTTTCTCTGTCTCGTTGTTCATTAAGATGTAAGGCTGAGGATCTGTACAAGGATTCTGAAAATGCCAAAGTCTGTTATTTGTCAGCCACATTCAGCTCTCTAGGTCACATTGTCACCCGCTGAGACAGCAAACTAGAAAGCCCAGATCATTCAGAGATAGCATGGCAAAAATTAGAATGTTGATAATGCATGAAAGAGAAGGAAGACTATTGGTTGCTTTTCTATTATCACAAGAGATTGAAAAGTAGAATCTGAGAGTGACTTTGCTGCTGCTGTTTTACATGTGACAAACCTTACATTTAAACTTTAAACTGTCCTTAATTTAAATCAAAAAGTGGCATCACTGTCAGGGTTTGCCCAGGATCAGGAACACTTGACAGTTTTGGCACAATAGTAGGCATTGTGGCAAAGCAAGCATTGACCCAAAGTATTTTGCTATCTAAGGCAAAGCACAAAATGGAGCTCCCTCTCTGTCCTACATAAAGAGGCTTCTTAGTGTCCAGCAACACTGAGGAGGCCAAAATCTGGATTCAAGGACAAGTTACATGACATTCAAAGCTTTGACAGAAATAAGTAGCCATAGTACTCAAGAGACAATGTTCCCAAACATCTGGTGACCGTTCTAGTATGCTTATGGTAGAATCAGTTTTGTCCTACAGGTATTCCTCAACTTACAACTATTTGTTTAGTTCAAATGCTACAACGGCACTGAAGAAGTAACCCTAACAGTTTTTCACACTTACAACCGTTGCAGCACAGACACACCTCGGCCATGTGATAAAAATTCAGACACTTGGCAACTGGCATGGGTTTATGATAGTTGCAGTATCCCGGGGTTGTGCAATCACCTTTTGTGACCTTCTGATGAGTGAAGTGAATGGGGAAGCCAGATTTACTTAACAACGGTGCTAGTAGCTTAACGACTACAGTGTTTCACTTAATAGTTGTGGCAAGAAAAGTCGTAAAATGGGGCAAAACTCACTTAACAATTATGCTGCTTGGCAATGGAAATTTCGAGCTCAGTTGCCACCATAAGTCAAAGACTATTTGCATTGACCTACTTTTATCATAATGTATGCCTGTTTATATGCAAAGGGAATTTGGGAATCTTGAACTAAATAAGTGAAAGGGATGATTTCCCAGACTGCTACCAACTCAAGATCAGGATTATTGACTTATTGAGCCCTGCATGCACACAATGAGCATCTTTTGCATTCCAATTAGTGTAAGTTTCTTGTTCTACTTGAAAAACATTTAAAATTCCAGAGTTTCTACACTTAAGCTTCTTTCTTAACTTTTGCTTGTTTTTCTATCATTTGCCTCATACTAGCTTTTTTATATAAATATGTACAAGTAAATCCTCCTTCATAAGTCATAGTGTATTTTTAAATAATAACTTAGTGGGAGCCCGGGATTTTAGTACATAACTTCTTTGAGATTTTCCCAGACAACCGCAAAGAAGGTATGGACAGTACATTAAGCTACGTTTCATTTTAAAAAAACAACAACCAGGGAATGTTCTATAAATATCTGAGTTTTACCTTTTTATTTTGGAAAAAAGGCGATTATGTCTACTTTATTTGTTTCTCAAGTGATGCTACCCCTGAATACTATCAGTGTAAGATAATGAAAGGGACTTTGTTGAAACTATTTACCCAACTGTTGATACTGTGTGTTGGAATTCTCTTGGTCTGTTGGTGTCTGTGCTGAGTAGGCAGAGAGCAGCAAATTCAGAGAATTAACAAGTTGATTCTGGATTGAACTGAGCTTTGAGGCAGGATGCTTTATTGCACTGGCTAGCTCGGGATACCCATGTTCGAGGCACAGCCATTGCTCTTGTAAGAGATCCTGTATTTTTTTAATATATTGGCCCACAATGGGGTCTGCAGGTGATTCCTTTGCTTGTTGATAATTCTGTTCCTCCTGATCTCGCTGTGCATCTTCTTGAAAAATGATTTGCATTCCTTTGGATTTTATGTCAGCTGTCTTGGGACCAGAACAATTTTCTTCACCAGGAACCAACAGCTGAGCGGTCAAAGGGTTTCTTTCTGTCTTGTTGTTTTCATTATCAACATGTAGCACATTATAGCTTGGTTCCACAATGGAGCAATCACTATCCTGACCGATTCTTTCTCCTTCCTTGTTGCTCTGAAAAATAGGTTTATCTCTTCCTCCATCATCAGCAGAAACATTTGATATCTCAGTACAGAGTAACTCCTTACGTATTTCCACATTTTTATCATCAGCCTCATAAGTATCACCTCCTAGAAGTTCCACAGGCTCTGTGATGCTTTCAGCAATTTCATGTGTTATCTTTTCATGTACATGTTCAGTATTCACAGCAACATCAAAGTATTGGGGGGGTTTTCTGGCCTGCACACCTGGCTTAATTTCTTTGATGTTCTCCCCACAGAGTTTCTCTTCCAGCTGTGCTTTAGAACTTGCTAGCAATTCAATGCTTCTCTCTTTTGCTTTCATTTCTTGATCCTGTTGCTTCAAAACCACCCGGATCTGCTCAAGTTCTTCTGTTTTGTTATTCAGCTGCTTCTCCAGAATTGCAATGTGCTGCTGTAATGCTCTTATATTGCTGTGAGTTGTGAGAAGAAAGGGCTCAAGTTCTATATTTTTTTCCACTTCTTTAGTACTAAGACTTGTAACTTCATCCTCTTCCTCTACTTCTTCTGTAACAGTCTCACATATGTTAAGTTCTACTTCTTCCTGGGATTGTTTTATAGACATGTTTTCTGAGGTACCAGTAGGGACCAATCTACTCTGAATTGATGATGGACAGACATTCACCTGTGTCGCATGGCATTTTTCTCCACTCTCAACCACCTCAGGGGATTTCTGAGAAATTAGGGGTTGGCTTTGCTGTGGATCACTGAGTTGTGTTATTTCCTTATGAAGCTCTGTTTGTTGTTGAACTTCTCTCCTTAGTCCTGGACATTTATCAGAATCTTGGATGTCTTTATTGATTTGCTCTTTCAAATCTATTAGATTTTCATGAAGGGGTAATGAAGATCTTTTGGAACTATTTAACTCAGATGGTTTTTTTGCAGGGCTAAAATCAAGCTCTAAACCATTTCCGTTGGAAGACTGAAGAAATCCCGAAGGGAGAAAAGCTGCTTGATGAGTTTCTTCTTCTAAATTTGGAATTGGTGGAAGTTTGGCAGGCATACTGGATGCCCTTAGAAGCTGAGGCCTTCCTTTACAATTGGAAGTATCCTCTTCAAGAGGAAGATGAACTTGTTTGACAGTCTCTATTAGCAGGGCTTTCTTTCTGTAGCTCGGTTCTTGGGGAAGAGGTGAACATGAAGACATGTCAATGGGTGTGACTAGGGACCTGTTTTCCTCTGCATCCAAAGAGGTCTTTCTCTGTGTAACGAAACTCTTGTTTAAGGAGGATGAATAGACATTGGATCCATTTTCTGGAAGGCTAAAGTTCCGAGGCAGGGTGCTAAATTTGGGGTGCTTTGTTTTCCGGCGGACTGGAATTCTCTTGATAGTATTTCCCTTTTCAATGTCATCAACATACTTCAGGAAGTCAAGATCTAAATGGAAGCCATAAGGGGTTTCAACAGAATAGGGACTTTGGGGTGGATTTTTATCCTCTGCTTTTGATGTCCAGTTATCTGCTGACATGGAAAAAATAGAAACAAAAAATAAAAGCTCTAATTTACAAGAGATAATATTGCAATCTAGATATCTGTTATTATCCATGTTTGCTCTTCCTGATACATATAAATAGTTGAAGACAAACCTAAATATCTAGGAATAACATTTAGGACAGTTTCTTCTCTTTCTAGATTAATTGTTCAGGGAATTCTATACATCTGTTCTAATACTGCATAGCTGTTGGCTTAAAAATGGAACAATCCTATAAAGCTCTCCTTTCTACTTCTGATTGGACATAAATAATTTTATACTGAAGCAAGCCATACATTTATCATGCATCATTCTTATTCCAAGGATTTCACTGCATAAATTACATGAGGATCAAGTTCTAAGGAAAGGCCAGAAGGAAATATATATGCATTGGTCTTCACCAAATAACATTTGCACACAGAATATTAATAATAGACTGATTAAGGCTGATCTTTTTGAGTTTATCAGGTTTCATCCCAAGGAAATTTAAAATGTTGTTCTTAACTCCTTGGAGGAAAGGCAGGAAATAAAAAAAAAAGAAAACTAAATACCAGACAAGAAGAGTTAGATATGTTAAGTTTAAGCCATCCTATTGGTTTTCCTAAAATCTGCCTGCCTTTAGGTTGCAGCAACACAGACTTATTCCAGCACTGACGAAAATCAGCCTGTATTAGTATGCATAACTTTTATTCTAATGCTAGCTATAGCTCCAGGCACAACTACAAGGCAGCTTCATTAAATCACTGTGCAGTTAGTCTCTATCTACGAGGCAAAGAGGGAAAGTACAGCTGGTAATTTGTCATCCAAGACATCTCTGTAGAGTCAGCTAGAAGATACAGACCTAAAGAGGGAGGTGGAAATATATTAAACTTATTTTCTCTGACTGCACAGATCATTGTTCCACTATAAGTCCTCAGGAATTTGCTAAGTCATCACCCTAATTGATAATTATGTAAACAACAGCTTCTGCAGGCTCTGGTACAGATCTGCTTTAAAAGCCGCAGGATTCGAATATCTATGAAATCTTTACTATAAGATTTGGTGATGATAATGCATTTTTCAACATGTTTTCTAACCATGACAAGTACTTACTGGCATGGATTTAACTTTAGTCATAAAATAAAAAGAATGCTGTCTATGTCAGCCTTGCTCTTTTTAAAATGTAAGAATGTTTCAGTGGGCACAAAAGATGGCAGAGCCCCAGATGTTTATTTAGTCTATAAGGCTAAATAGATAATACTATTTAGGCCTTGGTTAATAGTCTTCTAAGAGCAACACTTGCTAAATAGACTTCACTGCATAATCTGTTTTTGGCACTTGAATCTGGTTTTTTTTTTGGGGGGGGGGGGAAATACTGCGTACAAAAAATTAAATTTCTCCCCAAATAGACAAGTGAAAGAAATACAACAGGGCCAAAATCAATTATTTGGTTAGTTAATTTGATTAAATTGTTTTATTTAATTCAAAGCCAAATTATATTTGACTCTGTTTGGAGATAAGTCTGTGTCTATGTATACATATCTGTAACTATAGAAAAATAGACCTCAATATTAATCCAATTAAGTAAGAACAAACCCATTAATGCTCTTCACAATGAAAACCAAGCTAGCATTGGTGCTAAATATCTAGTTCTGCTTAAAGATTACCCATTCATAAAACATAATTCTGCCAACTTTGTCTGGGATATCTTCTCCAGCCTTTTTATCTAAAATGCTTTTCTGGATCTCCTACTTGCATAGTTTTGGTTAGAATTTATGCATTTGATTCTCTTTCCACAGATCATGGGGAAAGTTTGATAAATCTGTAATTCTGAATTGCCCCACCTTTCTAATTTCTAATCATTTATCAGAAATGATTATCAATGACACCATTCAAAAATGCATGCTTTCTGAAATACCGCTTTCTGCCATTGTACGGATAGATTTTGAACACTGATAAAGTGAATATATACAAAAAAAGGACATTTCAAAAGTTAAAGTGGGTTTATTCCTTCTAGCAAAAGAGAAATTATGCTTCATAATGGAAATGTTTGACTTTCAATTAAGATGAAGTTTGAACCCATACCATCTGTATTCTCCATGATGAGAATTCTGTTTAATTTTCTAATGTCAAGCCATTAGTGAAACTTCATAAAAAGAAATGCAGTCCACCTAAAAGAAAAACGGGGGGGGGGAAGAGGAGAGTGTTATTTTTAAAAATCTAAGTCACGGCTGTTTCAAGAATTGAGTATAACAATTATTTACATTTTGGTTTAACATATAAGATATACATTTCACTAATTTATTTTAAAAACATATGTACTCATTCTGCTCTTCCTGAAATGAAATTATCGTCTATTAGCCTTTACCTGATAAGCATTTTGAGAATTTTTTAAAATCAGTGCTGCTCTCCTAACCGTGACTGATTCCGCTTTGAGAATACATAACTCTGCAAGATTATTTCTTATTGCTGAGGAACAATTCACTGTACTTCCAGAAATTCAGCATTATGAATTGCTGAAATGCCTAGGGGTGCATATTGAGCAGAAGCTAAAATGATATAATAGCTATATAAAAGTACAAATATTTTGAAAACAAGAAAAAAAGAAAGCATATAGCAGGGTTGGAAAGAGGAAAAGGGCCCCTTGGTGTAAATATGGTGCCAAGAAAGTGGAAGCTGAAAATAAATTGAAACTGACAAATTGATGCTGGGAATAACAAAAAGGACTTCTCTACATATCTTCAAGTAAAAGAATCAATGAAGGTTCCAAAATGTTAGGTAATAAAGAAAATCAGCTATTTCAACTCCTATTTTTGTTTAGCAACAACTTTCTCAATAAATTGTGATGAGGAGGAGAAAGGGACAACTATCTATCTATCTATCTATCTATCTATCTATCTATCTATCTATCTATCTATCATCTGTCTATCTATCTATCTATCTATCCGTCTGTCTGTCTATCTATCTATCTATCTATCTATCTATCCGTCTGTCTATCTATCTATCTATCTATCTATCTGTCTATCTCTATATCTATCTAATCAAGGTGCAGGCCACTTCAGTTACAGAAGTAACTCTAGGTGACTTACACTTTAGGATTAAAAGCAATGAAAGTAATCATAAAAATAAACAAGCAATTAAAAAGTCAAAAGACTGAAATTTAAATTTGACAGAAATGGGGTCATGGAATACTTTTTTAAAATTCTTCAACGATTATAAAGTTCCAGGGCCAAACAAATTGCTTCCTGGCCTATTGAAACAAATACTGATAGGCTTGATGAAATGTTATTTATTATCTTTGAGAAAGAACTAAAGAACTGGGAAAGAATAAAGTGCCAGATAACTTGAAAACAGCAAATGTAGTTCCTATTTTCAGTGATACGAGTAGAGTGGGAGTTAAACAGGTTGGTCTGATAAAAGAAGCTTTGTGACATTGTGATGCCAGACCCATTTGCTTTGTATGCAGACCCCAAAGGGATAGAGCTTAGTGTGATGACGTAATGGTCATTTTGATAAAAGCAGCAGGAGCCTGAAGACATCCACGCCTATCTTCCAAAATGCAGAAAAAGTATATCATGATGTGCTAATTAACAAGTTACTTGTATATATTGGAGGACATGACAATTATTGACCCCAAAATTGTACTCAGACAATGTTTTGCAATCAGACTGATGAGATATACAGGATTGAATGGAGTGTAGAAGGTTTATACCAGGACTATTACTCTTCAGTGCTTTTACTATGACTTGAATGAAGTAGTCAGTAGAATGCCATCAAATTTGCAGGTAACATAGAATAGGGTGGAATAATTACCGTAATAGCTTAAATAACAGAAATAAAAATTAGAATTTCTTGATGCAGCTATATGAAAGGTAACAAAAAAATTAATATAAATAAAGGCAAAGTTACTTGGAAAGAAAAATCCTAAAGTATATGCAGGCACATTATCACTGGCTATGTGATAAAACATCTTAAAACAGTAGCAATAGAACTTATATACCACTTCATAGTGCTTTACAGCCCTCTCTAAGCAATTTACAGATTCAGCATATTGCTCCCAACAATATAAGGAATGGTTGCTGGAATTGGATATGTCTAGTTTAATGAAGAGAAGGATGAGGGGGGACATGATAGCAGTGTTCCAATATCTCACAATATTGCCATAAAGAAGAGGGAGTCAAGCTATTTTCCAAAGCTCCTGAAGGCAGAATAAGAAGCAACGGATGGAAACTAATTAAGGAGAGAAGCAAACTAGAACTAAGGAGAAACTTTCTGGCAGTTAGAACAATTAACCAGTGGAACAATGTGCCTCCAGAAATGGTAAATGCTTCAACACTGGAAGTTTTTAAGAAGAGACTGGACAGCCATTTGTCTGAAATGGTATAGGGTTTCCTGCCTGAGCAGGGGGTTGGACTAGATGACCTCTGGGTCCTCATTTTGCTGACTTTGGAAGGACAGAAAGCTGAGTTTACCTTGAGCCAGTCAGGACTGAATTCCTGACAGTGGGCAGAATCAGCCTGTAATACTGCAATCTAATCACTGTGCCACTATGGTTCTTACAGTTGAGTGCATGTCGAATATGATTCAGCGGTTTGATTGTGTTGCAGAACAGAGTAATATTATTTTATACTACATCAACAGAAATAGTGTTCTCAAATCATGAGAAGTTGCAACTCCATTTTATTCTGCTTTGGTCAAATCATAGCACAAAAGCCATGTCCAAGTCTGGCCACCATGATTCAGAAAGGATTCAAAGAAAATAGAACAAGTTTGAGAAATAGCAACAAGGAAGTTCAAGGATTTTTAAGCTAAGTCTCATGAGTAAGAGATGGACTTGTTTAAGCTTGAAAAGAAAATACTTAGGGGCATATAAAACCATCTTCCATATCTGAAAGAATGTCATGCAGAAGAAGGTCAGGACCTGTTTTCTATCATTCCACATCGCCATATTATGGATTCACATTCTAGGAAATCAGATTCATCTTCAATGTTATAAAAAAAACCTTTCTAACAGTAAGTGCAGATTATCAAGAAAGGTATAGATATCTTTCTTGAGTGCATTGAAGAAGTGACCAGATAGCTCCCTGTTGGAGATGCTTGAATTTGGGTCCTTGCACTTAGCAGAGAAGTGGAGTCAATAGTTTAAATGGCCCCATCTAATTCTAGTTCTCACTGTATTATATAAGACATGTTGCTCATAGTAGGATGGCTTGCAATTTACATATTGTTTTCCTAGTTTAAATAGTTATATGTAAATTCACCTTCAACTCAACTTTGAATCCTGGGAATTTTGTGAACACATCTATTCTTGGCAACAGTTTACAAGTGATTGTCTTTGTCACTTTGTATAATATTTTCTTGACGCCATTGTCTCAGTTACAGTTGTCTAGTCTTCCATTTCTATATGACATACATTTGTGTGTTTGTGTGTATAGCAGATACAAAAATTTCAATTAGAGATAGTACTATTTATGCTTAACAAACTCAAAGTCTCAATGTTGAAAAGTATACAGTCATAGAAATAAATAATACATCCTTATTCCAATTCCTAATGGTTATACAGGCTTAAAATGTCAGGAATGTAATATTTAATGTGCCTATTTGTGCAAAGGTATGCAGAAAAAAATTGTTGTCAGCCCAGATCATACATTTCCTGCTTTTGGGATAGAGATCATTCTTCTGGGTAACCTCAATCAGTGGTTTAATTGTTGAATATACCAAGAACACAATAGAAAAAGGAATCTAGACTTTATGTGAACACTTTTTTCTTGTGATGCTTTTGAAAAGGCTAAATTTACTACCAGTGTTAAAGGTAATCTGCACAGATTACCACACAGTTTAGAAATACACAGAGATAACTTGAAAGAATTTCTTTCAATGTGCAGTATAATGGCCCTTAAAATTAAGTGCTGGGTTCTAGGAAATAGTGAAGATATACAGTAAATCTACCTCAGGATAATGTAATTTTCTTTTGTTCTGCATTGGGACTGAGGTTTCCTGTAGGGTCACAGAATTTGATAGAAAGTCCAGTGCAAAATAACATTTCAGACTGTTCCTCCCTTTTATTAAACAGTTTCTAATTTCACTTCTAATCACCTTCCACAGCAAGGTTATTTACAACTGTACAAACCATACAGGGGTGCTCCTGCCTTCTCTTAGCTACTGATAAGAAGCAGAGAAAATGCATGTAAATGGATGGCCTTTATTTCACTAAAGAGTGTATATATTTTCTGGCAAGGCATACTTGTAGTTTAACCCAAATGTACTCTGTGTTTCTAAATATTACCGTTTAGAATCAAGAAGAGGTTTAATTCCCTCTGTCAGCCAAATTGGATCATGGCTTTGCTCTGGCTTCTAACACTTTTAATTTTCCATAATCTTTCATTCCTGAGGGATCATCTGTGAAGAGATTTTCTCTCACAATGTGTCTTTTTTTTCACTTTCACATGCTTCTCCAGATCATGTTCTTCTCCACTTCACGATCCCAAGAACAAATAGAAAGATTCAGCTGTGTAATACTGTCCAATCCATTTCAGGGTTACCACTTATCATTGCTCTTTACTAAAGCCAGTAATTAATCTTCAGCAGCCAGAACATCTCCATTGCTGTTCTCTTTCCTAGTTCTTTTTCAAAATCTGGTAATTTTAAGACTCCATCTCTGATGCCAATCCCTTCATCTTATATGTGCCCAAATTAAATTACAGCTGCCCTGGGAATTCAATGTACATATCTAAACTTTCATGTTTTGTTTTCTAAGAAAACTTTTTGATTATGCTACTGGAAACCAGAAATGGTATTATTAAAAAGAATTTCTGTGCAGAGAATAGTACAGAGAAATTTACGTAATTTAAACTTTAAGCCAAATTGCCTCAATACGAGCGACTTCCTATCCTATCCTAATGGATGAATCTGTATGAATGGGTATAATTACAATAAATGAAAACATAACAGAAAATAAAGTAATAAGCCTGCAAAATTATGTTATTAAATGGAAAAAATTCAAGCCAAGTTTTTTAAAAAAAATCTTCTAGCTTTTTTACTTGTAAAGATGAAGCAACAACTTTGAAACCTCTAATCTTGCACTTATATTTGTACTGATTCCAAAGTGCAAGAAACTTGAATCTCACAATAAATATACTGTCATGAGGATCATCCAGCCATTTTAAAACCA